GCAGAGAGGGAGGGAGCGAGAGAGTCCCAAGCAGGCTGTTTACTGTCAGCATGGAGCCCAACATGGGGCTTGAACTCATGAACCATGAGTTCATGACCTGAGCCGAAACCAAGAGTCAGATGCCTAACCAACTGAGCCACCCAGATGTCCCTGTGTAGAAAAAATTTCAATTATACGTTCAATTCCTTTGATAGACATAGGACTATTGATATTTTCTGTCTCTTGTGTCATTTTTGGTAAATATCATTTAATCTCCATATCATTTCATTGAAATATCTAATTATTAGCTTTAAATAGTTTATATCTGCTTGTTATATTTTTAATATCAGTAGAATCTAAAGTGATATTCTCTTTTCTGTCTCAGTATTGGTAATCTGTGAGGTCTCTTTGTTTTCTTGATTAGGCATTCTAGGGATTTAACACTTTATTAATCTTTTCAAAAGGTCACCTCTTAACTACTATATAATTGATTTCTTTTTCAGTGGTTCATGCTCTTTTCTAAAAACAACCTAATTCAAGTGAGCAAAACTTGCAAATACTTCACAAAAGAGAAATATCAATGACCATTAAACACACGAGCCTTTCTATTTTATTTGAGTTTAATCCACTGGGGTTTTTTTCTAGCGTCTTGAAATTTAAGTCTTAGATAATTGATTTTTTCCAACCTTTATTTTTGGCTAATATTTTCATTTAACAATCTAAATTTCTCTATACGCATCCATTTCACTGCATCCGGCAGAGGTTTTTATCACCTTTATTGAGTCATAATTATACATATAATAAGTTGCGCTAAATTTAACTTTACATTTTGATGAGTTGGGGTAAATACACACTTTAATATAACTACCACTAAAATCAAGAAATATAACATTTTCATCACCCCAAAAATGTTCTATATCCCTTTCCAGACGATTCTCCCCACCTGACTCCAAGAAACCATTAATCTGCTTTCTGTCACTATATGTGAGAACTGTCTTTACGAGAATTTTATACCAGTGGAATTACATTGTATATACTGTTCTGTGCCTACTTCCTTTCACTCAGCTTAAATTTTGAGATTTATTTATGTTGTGTATGTCAATATTTCATCCCCCTTTATTGATGAGTGGCATCCCATTGTATTAATATGTCACTATTTATTTATGTACCCATTGATGAACATTTGGATTGTTTCCACCTTGGAGCTACTATGAATAAACCTGCTATGAACACTCATGTATAAGTTTTTGTGTAAACATATTTTCATTTTTATTGTATAAATAATATACATCGCTGGGTCATATGGTAAATGTATGTATATCTTTTTTTTTAATTTTTTAATGTTTATTCATTTTTGAGAGAGAGAGCGCGTAAGTGGGAGAGAGGCAGAGAGAGACGGAGACACAGAATCCAAAGCTAGCTGTAGGCTCTGAGCTGTCAGCACAAAGCCGGATCTCGGGCTTGAACCCATGAACTATGAGATCATGACCTGAGCTGAAGTTGGGCGCTTA